CAACTTTGCCAACTGCAACAATCTATCCCCTGGCACTAGAGAAATTCTATCCATTTTAAAACCGGAAGAGACCATTTCCCTCTTCTATACAAATCGTTAGACAGTTTCCTCTAAAGGTTTATGATTGCCAAAAACCTCATATAGGGTGGAGGAAAATAGGAAGAAAATTTCAGAAGATCATCATTCATTTAAAAATACAAAAGAGGGATTTCCCTGGTGGTCCAGTGGTTAAGACTTCGCCTTCCAAAGCAGGGCATGCAGATTTAATCCCTGATTGGGAGCTAAGAGCTCAAAATGGCCCACATCAAAAAATCCTTAAATGAAAGAAAAATACAAAACAGTATTTACAAAAAAAAAAAACAACCCCAAATAGTATTTACGATATGCCAGATATAGTACTAGTGATACAAAGATGAAAATAGGATCCTTGTCCTAAAAGCACTTACAGTTTAGAAACAGACAAGCAAATACAACATGAAAAAGTAATACCACTGTTACATACACAAAAAGTATGTTTTGCATTCAACTGAAGCAAACAGAAAAATAGCAGTAAGTGGACATACAAAAAAATACTGTAGGAATATTAAACGATGTTCACCACATATTAATACCTACATTAAAACGCTGACAGAATAGCCAAAATTCTCAAAAAACTGTTGAACTAATGAACCACTGAAGTAAACGGCCTTTGTAGATTTCCAAACCTCTTACCTAATTTTTAATTCCATGTACTTAGTCTTTCAGTTTCATTAGGGCATTTTCCCTCAACCTGTTAATTTTGAGGAAGGTATTATATGTTATGTATATGTGTGTATATATATATATATTTTTTGTGTGTGTGTATATATATTTATATGCATATATTGGATTGAGAGTCCTTTGGATTGCAAAAAGATCAAACCAGTCAATCCTAAAAGAAATCACCCCTGAGTTTTAACTGGAAGGACTAATGCTGAAGCTGAAGCTCCAATACTTTGGCCACCTGATGCAAAAAGACTCATTGGAAAAGACTTTGATCCTTGGAAAGATTAAAGGCAAAAGGGGAAGGGGACAGCAGAGAATGAGATGGTTAGACAGCATCACTGACTCAATGGACATGAATTTAAGCAAACTCTAGGAGATAGTGGAGGACAGAGGAGCCTGGCGTGCTATAGTCCACGGGGTTACAAAGAGTCAGACATAATTTAGGGACTGAACAACAACAAACAACATACACAAGTTTATTTCTTTTTTGTTTTGCCAAAATGTAGCAAAGTACTGTTTTAAGATATCCTCAAACAGTGCCAATATCCAGTTTAATCCACAATTTCTCATTCAACCTTTATCTTGATATCACAGAAAATGAAAATGTTCATGATAATCTATGAAATAATATTGACAAACTATTTTTTTTAAACAAAACAAAACAAAACATTATTTATTTGGTTGCTTTGGGTCTTAGTTGCACCATGTAGGCTTAGCTGTCCTGAGGCACATGGGATCCTAGTTCTCCAACCAGGGTTTGAACCTGTGTCACCTGCATTGCAAGGTGGACTCTTAACCACAGGACCACTGGGGAAGTCCCTGGTAAACATTCTTACAAATGTCTGAAGGAATATTGGATTGTCCTCCTGTTTAAAAATGCAACACTGGAACCACATCTGGGATAAAATGACCTTGTAGGCAACTTTATGGTGCTAGGAGAATGGGAGTAGGGCACTTGGTCCAGGGGTTAAGAGGAGACAGGGATGTTGAGGGCAGTGAGGTGGAATGCAGAGAAGGGGTCTGGGCTGGATCCACTTGAAAGATGGCCACAGACAAATTGACTGGAGTGATGGAAGTCTGGTGCTGATCATATCCTAGCTTGAAGTGAAGTGAAGTGAAAGTCACTCAGTCGTGTCTGACTCTTTTTGACCCCATGGACAGTAGTCGATAGAATTCTCCAGGCCAGAATACTGGAGTGGGTAGCGTTTCCCTTCTCCAGGGGATCTTCTCAACCCAGGGATCGAACCCAGGTCTCTCGAATGGCAGGCAGATTCTTTACCAGCTGAATCACCAGGGAAGCCCAAGAATACTGGAGTGGGTAGCCTATTCCTTCTCCAGTGGATCTTCCCAAAGCAGGAATCGAACTGGGGTCTCCTGCATTGCTGGTGGATTCTTTACCAGCTGAGCTACCAGGGAATCCTTGATTACCTCTGCAAAAACCCAATCTCCACATAACCTTGGATCATTTTGGCGTGCTGCAGAGAAACATAGGCTTTGCAGTTACACGTGAGTTTTATTTTTAAAAAAATTAAAAATATTTGGCTACTCCAGGTCTTGGCTGAGGTGTGCAGAATCTTCTTCTTACATATATTACTTATTTTATCTTTCATTGTCCTCGTTCTTCACTGCTTTATGAGAGCTTTCTCTAGTTGCAGCGGCTTCTCCTGCCGCAGAGCACAGGCTCTAGAGTGTGTGGGCTCCCGAGTTCTAGAGCACCAGCTCAGCAGTCGTGTGCTCGGGGTTTATTCCTCTGCAGTATGCGGGAGCTTCCTGGATCAGGGGTCAAACCCATAACCTCTGCATCGGCAGGTGGATTCTTACTCAGTTACCACCAGGGAAGTCCTACACATGAGTTTAAATCTTGACTTTACCTCTTACTGGTGGTGTGACCTTGGGCAAGTTACTTAAATATTCAGGACTTGTTTACTCACGGGTATAATGGGGATGTCACATTGTTGAGGTTTGTTGTTGTTGTTGTTCAGTCACTAAGTTGCGGCCAACTTTTTGAGACCCCGTGGACTGAGCTAGGCTCACCTGTCCTTCACCATCTCCCAGAATGTGCTCAAACTCATGTCCATTGAGTCAGTGATGCCATCCAACCATCTCATCCTCTGTCACTGCGTTCTTCTCCTGCCTTCAACCTTTGCCAGCATCAGGGTCTTTTCCAATGAGTCTTTTCTTTGAATCAGGTGGCCAAAGTATTGGAGCTTCAGCTTCAACATCAGGTCTTCCAATGAATATTCAGGGTTGATTTCCTTTAGGATTGACTGGTTAGATCTCCTTGCAGTCCAAGGGACTCCCTAGAATGTGCTGGTTACGTGCAGGCTGTTACTATCTGTGATTTGGGGGTCTTTACTTTTAGAGGTTAACTTCTATGGACAGATGGGTTTGTAATACATCTGGCAGTGGATGTGCCAGGAAGATTCTCAGATGAGAGCAAGGATTTACTCACCAGACCTGGTCAAGACTAAACTGGCGTCTGTACCCGAGTCCTTCCTGCCTACGTGTGTTCACTTGTTTGGGGTCAATATAATTAACAGGTTGCTTTTAGGTGACGCCTATATAGAACCATTTTACAGCATTCCAACCTGGACATGACAGTTTATTGATCCATGTTGTGTAATGCGCTCACGCTGGGAGGAGGGGGGAGTGGGAAGGGGGACAGAGAGGGTGCAGCCTTCTAGATATGAAGACCAGCAATGCCTTCTATAACTGCAGGACTGTAAACTCAAAACTCTGCCTCACCCTGATAATCTTCCAGGTGGACCTGACTAAAGCCAAGGGCAGGTTTCATGAGCCACTGTCGTATTCTTTTCAGGTTATCTATAAGATTAATTAGGCTAGTTTCCTTCATTACCAGCAATAAAAAATTGATTCTAATTTAATGCTGAAGGTTGCAAATGCTTAACTGCTCTGATAGAAGTGAAAATGTGGTGAACCGGTGGGAGTGGGGAGCGGGGCAAGAGAAGCAGGAGAGGGAGTTGGTTGCACGGAGGAAACTGGAAGCTGGGGCAGAATCAAGGTGGCAAACTCTCACCCCCAGTAGGGACACTCTTGGCCACCTCATTCAAAACAATCAAGTTGAATGCGGGCTTTAATTACGTTAGTAGGTCAATTTTTGAAACAGCGCTCCAAAAGAACTTTTGATAGTCATAGCTACTTTTGATATCTTGAGAATCAGTCTGAAGTAACCTATTTGCCTACTTTTCATCTAATTTAGTCTTGGATTGTACGAACTTGAATGGGTGCCTTAGTATATTAGCATTCTAATAATCGTAGGAGGGAAACATTTGTTTAAAAAACCTTGTGTCTTTCATCCAGTCACACAGGGTAGAGATCAATATTTATTACAGAGCTGTTCTTTGGTCACCCAGTCCCATTTGCACTGTAAGTTTTTTTTTTTTTTTTTAATTGGGAATATAGTTGATTTACAATGCTTAGTTCCAGTTGTACAGCAAAGCGAATCAGTTATACTTAAACACATATCCACTCTTAAAGATTCTTTCCCCATATAGGCCATGGGTTTTTTCCCCTTTACACCTAGGATTTTATCTGCTTGCCACTGTACTTGTGAACAGCTTAAGAAAAAAAAAAAATAGGATATGAACACTATCATCGAAGATGGCAAAATCTAGCTTAGAAATAAATTGTTGGACTTGCAATAAAATACTACGTACAGTATCCTTTTTTAGCACAATATCAAGTTCCACTTTACTAGTATTGGTACAAAATACGCTTTTTTTTTACCCAGTGACTCTACTAATTACAAAGTAGCCAGCACAGCATGGCTACTAGTATACCTAGGTTTTAAAGCCTGGGGGAGCGGGGGGTGGGCACACCTCGTAATATTTACCCAGGCGGAAGGGACAGGCAGAATAAAGAGAAACGAAGGTCAGAATATTAATAAGGAATATTAATTAATTGGGCGAATTGAGAATCTGGAAACTGAGCTATTGCGTGAAAGAGATAATGAGGGAGTTGAACAAGGATACAGTGATCGTTTTGAGCAGATAAATTTTCGGGGCATTCCGATGGGGAAGGANGTCAGCGCGGGCGCGGCGCGCGCGGGTCGGGGCGCGGCCGGGTGGCCCGGGAAGCGGCGGGTGCTCGCGCACAGGCCGGGCCGCCGCCTCGGCCACCAAAGTCTTCCTCTTCCCCTTCCCTCCCCTCAGCCCGGCCGTCCCCCCTCCGCTCCCCTCCCCCGAGCGAATCACGCGCCCTCCTCTGACACTCGTAGCGAGCTCCGAATTTATCCTTCACGTGACCTGAGGGGGGTTGGGTGGTTGGTCGGTCGGGGACGGAGGCCGAGGGGTGGGGGAACGGAGGGAAAAGGAGGGAAACGGAATCTGCCGTTGCCCGAGCAACAGGCCCCGCCCCCCGGCTTGGGGCCGGGGGTGGCGGGAGGAGGACGTCAGCACGTCAGCCGCGGGGGGGGGGGGGTTGCGTTTTGATTGACAGTTGCTATAGCGACCGGGTCGGTCCGTCGCCATTTTGTTGGTTGGGTTTTTTTTTAAACCCTTTCGCTTCCCGCCCGAATAATAATAAAAAGCCCCATTGGAGTGAGGCGGGGGTGGCGGCGGCGAGAGCGGCGGGGGGATCCGGGGAGACTGCTGCCGTCGCTGCTGCTGATCGCGGCCCAGGTCGGGCTCAGGAGAGCGGACACCCCGAGCGGGGGGTGCGGGCGCCGCCGCCGCCGCCGCTTGTGCTGCTGTTCCTGCTGCTGCTGTTGGTGCCGCTGCCGCTGCCGCTGCCGCCGCCGCCGCCGCCGGCGAGCGGGCGGGACCGGTGTGAGTGTGAGAGTGTGTGTGTGTGTGTGTGTGTGTGTGTGAGAGGGAGCGTGTGCGAGGGTGCGTGCGCGCGTGTGTGTGAGAGAGTGTGAGTGTGTGTCCGTCTGCCCGTGCGGGGACTCGGGGGCGGGCGGTTCGGGCTCTCCTGGCTGAGGAGCCGCCGCCGCCGCCGCCGCTCGGGCCCCGGCGCTCCTCGCTGCGCAGCTTTGGAGCGCGCGCCATTTTGTGAGATTTACAAAATCCTCCTCGGGGAAGAAGAAGCCGCCGTCGGCGGCGGCCGCGACTGGGCGCCCGGCCTCGCCGCCGCCGCCGAGGCCGGCCGGGCGGAGGGAGGGACCTGCCATTTTAGGAGGAGGCGCCGCGGCCCGAGGCCGGCCGGCTGGCCGGCCGGCCGCCCGGGGTCGGGGCGGGGGAGAAAAGGAAGGAGGGCGGGCGGGAGGGCGCCCGACAGGCCCCGATCCCGGAGGAGAGGCGGGCGCTAGCGAAGGGAAAGTTGCGGAGGGCTGGGGGGCCCGGGCCGCGGCCTCCCGGGAGCCGGGGCCTGGGGGCCGGGAGAAAGCGCCAGACCTTTTGCCTGGTTGCCCGAGCGCAGGGGAGGAGGGTGTCTTCCTCCTCCTCCTCTTCCTCCTCATCCTCTTCCCCCAGCTCCTCCCTCGTCCCTCCTCTCGGTCCCCACCAGTGTGGGAACAGCGGCCGCGGTCCTCCGCAAGGACAATGCCACGGGTTACAGGGTTTGATGGGGCTGCCCCCGGCCGCCGGGCGAGGCGCCGGGGAAGGCTGGGGAGCTGGGTCCCCCCAGCGCGGCCCTCCGGGCTGCTTGCTCGCGGAGCCCGGGCCCTCGGCCTGCTCGGAAGTTGTGCGCGTGAGAGCCCGGCCGCTCGACGTCGGAGGGCTGGTGACCCGCGCAGCACAGCCCTCGGAGGGTGCCGGAGGGCCGCGGATGCGTAAATTAATAATCGAAACCTGGGTGTATGGCACGGAACTCGCCGGAGCCTTATTCATAGGCTTAGATCCGCCGCGGCTGGCTGAAGAAGCTTCACACTGGGCAGAAAGGCCTCCCCCCGTCCCCCTCCCCGGTCTGAAATAGTTAAAAATGGGGCAGAATTAGTGATTCCGACGACTTGGCTGAGTCTGTCGTCCAAAACCCCTGGATGATGTGAATCTTGGTGATCTAGGTGCAGTACTTGAGCGCCAGCGCCATTTGTTTCTTGAATTCTGCCCGGGTTGTCAGGAAATACACCCTTTATAACATTGTTTTCGCTCCCGAGTTAAAAGATTAGGACCATGTATTAATAACTCTATTACTCTCCAGGTAGATACTGTTACCCATTTCACAGATGAGGGAACTGAGCGGTGACTCATCCAAGGTCACACAGCTGGGACTCCTGAAGCCGGGAGTCTGTAGCCAGCCCGGGCTCTTAATCACTAGCTTATAACTCGTTATTAGAAGTACTGGCAAATTTTGGAGCTATTTGGTTGTAATGACTCAGGGTTGAATCCACGTATAGTGGTGGCGTGGAATTAACTTTTGTGGTTTGCAGAAGCGGAAAGGAGAGAATGAAGCAAGGCCCTCTTAATGAAACTAATTTGTCAGCTCCCCCCCCCACCTCCCCCCACTCTGAAGAAAACTGTGTAGACAATTTTTGAATGGAAGGAATTAAAAAGTATTCTGTTCTGCGTTTGGTTCCTCACACTTAATTTTAATTATAGTCATCACTTAAGTATTGATGAGTCATAAGAAAGTTTTGTGCAAAGTTATTTTTGGTTATTTTTTATCTTTGAATACTTTGATTTTCCCTGGGAGTCCTTACACATTACATATACGAAGTATTTAAGAATGGATATACTTAATACTTTGTTTTGGGGGGCGTTTGAATAATTTAGTGGAATTACCTTTAGCTTTGTAAATTTCCCATATTTTGATTAGTTATTTTAAGGATAATTTTTTTCTGCTATAAATATGAGACTAGAACTAAAATTTCATGTGGTAAGATTTTAAACTGAAGAAGATAGCTTTCAAGGAAACAGCAGTTATGAAAAAAGTTTACTCAAGTTGTGTTAAGATTTTTAATAGACGTACGACTTAACACTTAAAGTACCCCATTGGTTTCAGTGGATTTGTTTTGGAGTCGCAATAGTGTTTATGGTGGCTGTTCAAATTCATTTAGACTTCAAACCTTGCCAAAAAGTTAAGGAGTTCTGTCAGTGTCTACACCAAATTGTAAAACTGAGTACAGAAACTTCCTAAGAGGCATAAGCTCAGAAATTAAGTCTCCTAGAAAGAAGGATCCCCTCTCTGTAAAGTGAAGGCTTTCCTTTGAAATCTAAAAAAAGATTAAGGATTTGAGTAGAATTGAGTGAAGTGGATGGTCGATATTGGTAGGGGTGGGAGATGGACTGTGAAATCTAGTGAGATCTTTGTTTTTGTTCAGAATATGGAATTCAGGTTTAAGATCTTAAATTTCTTTTAAAGCTCTTTTGGTGGGACTTACTGGAAATGTAATACACATACATAATAACTGTCTCCTAGGGATTCAGACATTTAGCCCAGCCTTTTAAGGTCACTAACATTCAAAATAAATGAAAATATTCCATTGTAATGCAGTGTCTTGTTTGGGAATGTAGATTAAAAAAAAAAAAGCACCTCTTTGGGTTAGAATTTTTTCCCCCACTATAATATTGTCTGATGTCTGCCCTTGAGTTTTATTTATGGGGAGTTTTTGTGTTTATGGCTTAGAGATGTGGGAGTGGGGAGTGGTAAGTGCAGCAACTGGTATTTAAAGAATTTATATAGGTTTTTATAGCCCCATGATTATCTGTGAAAGCAAAATTGAAGATAACTTGTTATAATGCATGATGAGTGTGACCTTTGGCATACATTTTGTTTTGAAACTACAAAGAGAGGAGAAGCTAATTTATATGGAATCTTTGGTACTACTTGAAAACAAAAACAAGCAAAAAGCTTAGAAGTTTGGGATGCTTAGGGATGTTTTCACGTGTGTGTGTGTATATGGTTGGCAGTTATCCAGTCATGGGGAGAAAATCTGAATAGAAATAACTTTATTATGAGTGAGAAGAGAGTTGCCTTACGCATGCTCTTAAAAACTAGCTAAATAGAAGAGGGGGCTTCATTTGTGACTTTTTTTCTTTGTCATAAGGTGTGTATCAAATTTTCTTTGCTTTAGCATTTGCTTTCTCTGATTTCAAAGAACTTTCATATTTCCTACACCCACACCCCCACACCCAAGCAGTTTCTCTTTTCATCTCCTGAGAAAAAAATTTAAACTTGTGAACTCAACAGAACCCCCAAACTTCAAGAGTCTTTGTGAAGAGATTGACTCTTCTTTCCCCAAAATTCTACTAGTCTTAGAATTTTGTTGTATTCCTATCTGTAATTTAAACTGTAAGCTAAGAATCAATAGTTCCTGTTGAGTTTTTTGGTGGTTTTACCTCCAGATACTTGTATGTATTTTCTATTTAGAAGTAAAGATATTTTTTGAAACTATCAAACATGGGCCCCTGAAACTTGACACTAACAGTAACATTGCCCAAAGTGAAATGTGTGACTTTATTACTTTTGTATGAGCGCCTTACATATACACAGTGGTTATGCTTTTTAAAAGACTTCTTAGCATATATTATTTTGGCCACTGGGCAATGTTTTGATGGTTAGAGAAATTATGGTAATTCATAACCCAAAGCTGGCACAGTTTTGGATTAAAATTTTGGAGAGGGCAGGTTATAATTTGTGTTTAATTACTTGGGAAAATCATCAAATTATTTTAAATTACCTAAAATTTCTCCCCAGTTGCCCCTAAATAAAGAAATCATTCAAAATCTTGCTTTATATCAGTGTTATAATGTAAAGCTAGAGCTGTAAAATTTACCGTTGGTTATGTGAAAGTGAAATGTCGACTTCATGTGACTAAAGTAATTAATTTAAGGTTCTTACTAGGTAATTACAGACAAGTCTCATCTTCTAACCTAGTGGCTGCTGGTAGCCTTAGTTTCATTGTTTGGTATATGAAAACAAAATGACTCGGAAATACAGCATTGTATAAACCAGCCAAACGTTTGAAATAAGTTATGCTTTTGCTTTGAAAACCTTCTTCCAGAGTTGCATAGTGAGATAAAATTCCTCATTGGAGATAACTTACAGTACATTGAACATCTAAAATAATGTGGTTCCTTGTAGGCATGCATTTTGCTGATATAGAACCATTTAGGCTTCTTAGCAATTGATTCTTCTCCCAGAGCTATGCACCCTCTCTTCTAGAAGGTGACTTTTAAAAGTTTGTAATACTGTGAAAGTTTTGCTTGTTTTAATTTTTTATTGTTTGATGGACCTGTGCCCATATCTGATATGCATAATAGTTTAAAGTGTATCTATACTCTTGATGAATTATTTTTCATTTTATTGCCCCATAATTTAATTGCTTAAGTTGCTTTTGTGGAGAGGCGCTTAGTGAACTGGTTTAACATGGAATGAAACTGGTTTTAGCATCAATTCTATTTTAAATAACATCCCTGTTCATTAAATAGTTCTCTTTGTTTCTCTATATAAAATTTTTACTAACGAGTTGATTTTTTGTTTTCTGGATATTTGTGGTTAAGATTGGCATTTTAGCAAATGCATTTGGGTAAGAAGATGCTCAAACGTGAGATCTACTCCAAATCTGCTTATTACAGAGGTAGAGATAGCGGCTGAAGAGTGCTATCTGTGAAGAGTGTTGGCCTGTGGGGCAGTACCAGGCAGAGCCTCCAGAGTCAGGCAGGTCTGGAATCTCAACCAATCCCGCCTCTTACTGGCAATGTGGACTTAAGGCACAGTGGTTTTGCTTAATATCAGTTTCTTCATCTGTAAGATGGGTTGGTGATCCTTACCATGGATGCTTGTGAAGACTGAGATAACACATACATTTCTTAACAGTCTTCTCCCTCCCTCGCTCCCTCCCTCTTCACCGTGAGGATGATGCCCATCCTCACGGTCTCAGCATAAATACTACTTCTTTCCCCAGACTCGGTTCTAAGTCAGACTCCTTGGCCATGCGTTCTTACCAACGGCTTTTCTTGGACAGCCCTTGTTAAAAAGTAACCTGACAGTTACTCATAGGTATGCACGTGTACGGGCTTCCATGGTGGCTCAGTTGGTAAAGACTCCACCTGCAATGCAGGAGACCCGGGTTCAATCTCTGGGTTGGGAAGATCCCCTGGAGGAGGGCATGGCAACCCACTCCGGTATTCTTGCCTGGAGAATCCCACGGATGGAGGAGCCTGGTGGGCTACAGTCCATGGGGGTCGCAAAGAGGCGGACACGACTGTGCGGCTCAGCACAGCACAGCATGCACGTGTATGTGTATCCTTTGCCTGTCCGTCTCTCCCTCTTACTGCTCAACTGCAAGGTCCGTCTGGACAGGAATAATCCCAGGGCACACAGCAGGAGGAGATGAATGCACATGTACACAGAAGGATGGGATGAAGAACCTGTGTGCTGAAGCCTGAGCACCATTCCTTCCTTGTGCAGTCTTGGGCAGGGTAGCTTCGGAGCTTTAGAATCCTGTATGCCGACTGTGCGTAAGCCCTAGCTGCCCTGCCCAGGATTTGGAATATGTGAAATGAGATGCTCTGATGAGATGCTTTGCAAAAGTGTAAAATGCCATATAAATGTAAGATGGTACAGTAGCAATAATTTCAGTAGTGAGGTTACCCAAGAACTTATAATTAGAGTTTCAACTTTACTGAGTTGGTAAGTAGCTATTATGTAATACTTATTAGTAACGTAAACTTTGTGTATCATTAGTTAGAACACAAGATTGGGCCCATGTTCTGACTAGTGGCTTAAATGTGGAGTTTCTTTCTTTCTCATCTAAGTAGTCTAAGGCTGGTGTGGCAGCTCCAAGATACAGGGGACCTTGGTTCCTTCCATCTTGTCGCTTTCCTGTGCTTAACGGGACCGCATGGCCCCTGCAGTTCAAGACCGCTCGCCACCACATTCACGGTCCAGGAATAGGATGTGGGGGAGGACACCCCTTCTTCAAATTGGTCGAACCTGGAAATTGCGTACATGACTTGTTCGCACCTGTCGGTCGGCACTTCGTCAGGTGGCCCCGTGTAGCTGCAAACGGAGGCTGGGATATGTGATCATCAGTAGGCTGGCTGATTGTCCGCCCGAAAACCTGTTTCTACTGAAGAACAGGAGAACGGGCGAGGAAGCGTTGCCTGTCACTCTCTCACATATCTTGGAAGAAACTTAACAGAGATGAACTTTGAAAAGACAACTTACTGCACTAATTAATGTTTATATTCCATATTTGTTCATTAATCATTTGAACTATCGTGTAAATTGAAATAGACTATCAGTACTTAGTATATGCAGTATATACATATGTAGTCAGATTAGAGTTAATATAACTAAACTTATAACAGTGAAGGAATTTGGAGTCTAATAGCATATTATTTTATTGAAGGTATTTTCTGATAGAAACATGAATCTCGGTTGCAGTAACTGTTATATTTAAACAGTATTTGAAGTCTGAGCTGGATTTAGTTTTAGCGGTCCTGTGGACCATTTTGTGTGTATTTGTGTACATAACCTCAGCAAGCAATACTAGGAGAGTGCGATTCAATATTGCAAGATCTTGTCAGGTTTTCAGTAAGTGTTTGGATCACTGCAGTTGTAACGATCATAGCAGTGATATTTACACATTTCCTGTCCAGTGTCTTGCTCTTCTTTTTTTTCTGTGGGTTTGACAGAAGAGGAAGGTCTAGGATTCATTTGAACTAGCCTATAATTAGGTCAAGTAGAGACCTGAGGAACTAATGAGCCTCAGATAGTTTTCAGGAGAACTTGTCAGAGTTGTGGGACTCCCCAGCCTGAGACTCGTCTTTCTGAAGGTTTGGGTGATGTGCTAGAATCCACTGTCTTAGTTGGGACTGCAAGTATCCCTGATGCGGTAGAAACATTTTGAGAAACTTTGACATAGTTCATTTCTCATCTTAGAGGAGGAAATGGATGCAAAGAAATGAAATGACTAACCAGTCCTTCGGAGTAAGCAGGTTGGGGGTGGGGGCTAGCGTATGTTTTCCCGACTCTTGGTTCTTTGTTCTTTCCCCAGAAGAGAGGAAGGAGAAGAGTACAACTGCATTTTTTATTTTATAGGAAGTTCTGTCATTCAAATATGTTGCTATTTATGTGTGAGCTCATTGCTATTGAATGGTTGGCTCACTTCACAGTCTTCTGAGCCTCTTAGAAAAATACTGTGAGTTGGTCCAATAAATATTTAAAGGTGGGAAGGTGAGGTTTTAAATCAAATATCATTAGTGTTGGTGCTGTAGTGGGTAGAGAGGTTTATCTCCAGAGTTAGGGTAGATGATAAGGAGGTGTGGATTTGGCATGATGAGAAGGAACAAAGGTGTAGGCCATGTCCTCAGATCATTCCTTCTCTTTTCAGCTGATTTCGCTTGCCATTCTCACCTTTGAATTCATACCTGTAGATTAAGGTAAGAGCTGGATCCCCTAATTTAAAATGGAAACATTCCTAGGGAAATAGCCTTCAACTGTTACCAGGTTAACACTTTATTAATTAGCTGCTGTCATTTTAAACCTTGGAGATGAGCACCCGCACTAGTAAGAGAGCTTTTGGGAAGAGGAGGGAGGGTTAGGGCACACGTGCTCTTGTCCAAGGAGAATGTCGGGCCTGTTTGAGAAGTGTCTGCTTGTGGTGCGGCCCTGGCTGGTGCTCAGAGGCTTCTCTGGTGGCTGAGGTTGTTAGCGTGGGGCTGGCCCTTGCTGGCCAGTCAGGGCTGGTCTTGGGGCCACAGATAATGTGTTGAGGGCCTCTGGGCTTGATTGGATGCGCGGTCATTGGAGTAGGAGTGTCCTCTTCGCGCTTTCTCATGGTCAGGACTCCTGTTTGAGCAGTCTTAGAGCAGACCTCAAAGGTGTCATTTTGATTTGGGGAATTTTAGTTTTTAAAGTTCAACAAGTTTTTTATTTTCAGGATAAAAAAAAGATCCAGCCCTATAGAATGAATGGGGTCACCCACCCCCAGCCCTCCCCACCTGTGCTCCATAAGTAACAGCTATTTAGTTTTTCCTACCAGAAATGTTCTATATGTATATATGCAAGCTGTATATATAAACATTTGGTATATACACGTGTGTTAGAAAACATGGGGCAGCAGAAGATGAGATGGTTGGATGGCGTCACTGACTCAGTGGGCTTGGATTTGAGCAAACTCTGGGAGATAGTGGGGGACCAAGGAGTCTGTCGTGCTGCAGATTTGCAAAGAGTTAGAGACTGAACAACAGCAAATGACGAAACTGTATGTTTAGTGTGATCCCGTTTTTTTTTTTATTCAAGCGCGACATTGTGTATGTATACGCTCTGTGTACTTAAAAAACAAATGGGGTCTTGCTAAACACGTGGTTTTGTAACTTAAATGTCTTGGTCTATCTTGGAAATACTTCTGTATCAGGTGGTAGAGTTCCCTGTATTTTTTTTTTTTTAAACAGTTGGGAAGTTTTTGATGTTATGGATGCAACACAACTGAGTCAGTCTCCATTAAAGAGAATTTAATTTTTCCTCCTATTTTTAGAACTTAAAAAAAAAATATTTTGTTTATTTTTGGCTGTGCTGAGTCTTGGTTGCTGCTTGCAGACTTTCTCTCGTTGCAGGGGCTACTCTTCATTGCTCCAAGGCGCGTGGAATCTTCCTGCCCCAGGGACTGAACCCATGTCCCCTGCATTGGCAGGTGGATTCTGAACCCCTGGATCACCAGGGAAGCCCATAATTCTGCCAGTTTTAAACAGTACTGCAGTGTACATCCTTGTACATGTAACTTTTTTGTCAGTGTTAGCCAGAGGATACATATTTATAAGAGAAATTGCTGGTTCACCAGATATATGCACATATGAGTATGTTTTGCCAAACTGTCTTCCAAAAAGTAGCACAAATTTATACTTCAGCAGCAGTGTCTAAGACTGTGTAGTTTCCCAAATCTCAAAAGCACTGGCATTATTCAAGTTTTAAATCTTCGTAAGTTTAATAGGTGAACAGTGCAGTCTGATTGTTTGAATTTTCTTCATGAGTGAATTTGAGCATCTTATGGTATGTCTTACACTTTAACAGAATATTCATTCTTTGCTATTTAGTTAAAATTTTTTTTGTGATTTTTCTGTATTCTGTTGAATGAAAAATGATGTTTTGATAAATTGTCAATGCTTTGTAAAAGGTGAGTCTTGTTCCTCTTCAACTGAGGAAACTTTTGCCTGTCCTCTGTAAGATACGTGAATTGTGGTGGTAGAAGCTTTCACTACAAAAATGAGTAAGGTTTGGTGACCTCAGCTGTTAAGTGTTGAAATAGTTGTGTGTATACCAGCAAGATTAGGACAAAGAAGACCATGACTGTTAACAGTTAGTGCATTCTTAACCACTAGGCCACCAGGGAAGCCCTGACCCAGGACTCCAAGTTCTGGAGATAGAAAGGAGAGAATTCAACTTTGGTGGCAGTATAGTAAAGCTCTTGAGGAGTCGAATGATTGGCTTGATGGGAACAGTTGAGAATATTTCCTAGTAAGGTCCTGAAGGAACAGTGGAAGAACAGAAGAGAGAGTTACTGTAGTTCAGTCCTTCTGTTAGTGACAGGTGGAAATAACTTGTTGTTGTTCATTTCTTGGTCCTGTCTAACTCTTTGCGACCCCGTGGACTGCAGCACGCCAGGCCTCCCTGTCCATCACCAACTCCTGGAGTTTACCCAGACTCATGTCCATCGAGTTGGTGATGCCATCCAACCACCTCATCCTCTGTCGTCCGCTTCTCCTCCTGCCTTCAATCTTTCCCAGCATCAGGGTCTTTTCCAGTGAGTCAGTCTTCTCATCAGGTGGCCAAAGTATTGAAGTTTCAGCTTCAGCATCGGTCCTTCCAGTGAATATTCGGGACTGATTTCCTTTTGGATTGACTGGTTTGATCTCCTTGCAGTCCAAGGGACTCTCAAGAGTCTTCTCCAGCACTGCAGTTCAAAAGCATCAGTTCTTCGGTGCTCAGATT